ATTCCTTTCCACTTTCCCTTCAAAATCATCCAGCCTCATTCCTCAACCGCCATCCCCCATCCAGTGAGGACACCGTAGTGGACACCTTTGGGGAACACTTCAAGAACCAGCAGAACCAGGCCCTCATCGATGTGAACCCCACCACCTTCGAGACGCTGGAGCTGCCGCATGAGCAACAGGCAGGGCCTGAAATGTTGCCATGCGATCCACCCTGTTGGTTGATGATTTTTATTTGGGGGAACATACTAACCTATACCTTGGGGATAGTAATATTCCACCAGCGGAATCCCTATTCATCATCCAGTACAAAGGCATGACAGAGGCTTTTGAGCACTGCCACTTGGCTTTAAGATTATTACAATCTTGAATTTGATTACAATTGAACGTTGTATCAAGCACATGACTCATTGTGATGAGCCCACCCGCAATGGAACGCAGGTGTCTAGGCGGCTAGGATCTCATGGCTCCCTTTTTTCCTCACACCAATTTGGTCTGGGGGGCTTGTGCCCAAATGATTTCACGGAACACATCCATGATGGATCCAAGTATGAGGGCACAATTCCGATTATGCGCATGTTTTTCACATGCATCCCCATTATGGATTCGTGACACGTCTAAACACTGTCTCACACTTTGCTTTTTTGATTTGTTTCTCACTAGTACACTTCTTAGGTTTCCCAATCTTTCCGACCCATCGCTTCATCGTTTTCGATGATCGTGATCTAAACATGATGACGACAGCGGCACGGATGGTTATATTATATGATTATATGTATATTAATTCTAGTATGTGCGATCCTTTTCGCGAAGATTGCAAGACAATCTCAAGCTATCTCAATCTCGAAGGTCTCTCGGATGCCCATTATCTTTGCAGGAGACAACGTGTCGTTCTCAGAGGTCTCCTGCAAAACCATCTCTTTGTCTCTCAGCTGCAAGTACGTGGGCACAGAACTGGACGCAGAGCTGGACACATAGCTGCATGATACCGTGCACCACAAATCACTGTACTGCCCCTTCTACACAAGGGAAGAGATATTGAAGTTTGACATGGTTTCAAGGGGCAAGTACATCCTGTCTCAGTTCGGTCTTTTTGTACGAGAACTGCGCATTTTTGGTGGATGCTATGTTGCAGGTGGAACTGCAGTGACCTGCAGCAGGCGCAACTGCCCCAAGCAGACCAACACCAAAGGGAATGACTTTGAAGACTACTCCCTGCTCCTCAGCTGCACAAGTTTGAACGTGCCTTTCTGTCCTGTCTATAAACCAGTTGTGCTTAGTCTTGATAGTCTTGTATGTGGAACACTTTTTTTTTTGACCATCTGATGTCGAACCTTTGCCAGGAAGCAAGAGCTGCTGACGGGGATCTTTGAGATGGGCTATAAGAAGCCATCCCCTATTCAGGAAGAGAGCTTGCCGGTGGCTCTGGCCGGCAAGTCAATCTTGGCCAGAGCAAAGAACGGTACAGGAAAGACGGGAGCATTTGTGATCCCGATCCTTGAGAAGTGCAACACAACCAAGAATGCAATCCAGGGTCTCATCCTCGTCCCTACGAGAGAGTTGGCCTTGCAGACGTCGTCAGTGGTGAAAGAAATTGGAAAACACATGAATGTCCAATGCATGGTCTCAACAGGCGGCACAAGCCTTCGAGAGGACATTATGCGTTTGTACAATGAGGTCCATGTAGTGGTGGCTACCCCAGGTCGTGTTCTCGACCTTGCCAACAAGAATGTGTGCAACTTGAAGGAGTGCCACATGGTTGCCATGGATGAGGCTGACAAGCTTCTCTGCCCCAAGCTCCAGCCTTTGATTGAGGACCTCATCAAGTTCTTGCCTCAAGAGAGGCAAATCCTGATGTACTCGGCCACGTTCCCGATGACCATCTTGGACTTCAAGAACCGATTTATGGCCAAGGCGCATGAGATCAATTTGATGGATGCACCTACAGCTGAGGGTGTGGTGCACTGTTGCGCATTTGTTGAAGAGAGGCAGAAGGTTCACTGCCTCAACACCTTATTTGCCAAGTTGCAGATTAATCAGGCAATCATTTTCTGCAACTCCGTGACGCGCGTGGAGTTGCTTGCCAAGAAAATTACAGAGCTTGGCTTCTCATGCTTCTTCATCCATTCGCGCATGTACCAGTCTCACCGGAATCGTGTTTTCCATGACTTCCGGAACGGAGGTTGCAAGTGTTTGGTCTCTTCAGACCTTTTTACCAGAGGGATTGACATCCAGAGCGTGAACGTGGTGATCAATTTCGATTTCCCCAAGAACTCCGAGACCTACCTGCACCGCATTGGCCGAACTGGCCGCTTCGCTGACCCAGGCCTGGGCATCAGCTTTGCGACGGAAGATGACCGCAACAGTCTGGACAGCATAGGAGTTGGGAACAAACATGCATGTTTGTTCCCAACTCCTATGCTGTCCAGACTGTTGCGGTCATCAAGGCCTGGGTTTTCTGGGCGACAGTTGTGGAAGCATATTGTGATTCGGTTCTGTGTTCTAGCCAGGCAGAATGGTTGGTGAGTTCCAGCCAGGCAGGATGAAATCCCAAGACCTGAGTTTCGGTTCGGTGTTGCCTGTCTTGGGGTTGGAGGACAAAATCTTGCACGAGCTGGGACAAGTGAAGCCGTTTGAATGTTGGGTTAAACATGGATACACTTTTTTTCCAACTGTATGTCCATCCACGGTATCACCTAACCCTACTTGGTTGCAATAGTACCGTTTTTGTTTCAGGGTACAACTTCAAGCATCGACCAGGATCACGCGGTTGAGTGATTTTAGCCCACCAGTTTTGATGCCACATGATCCATTAGAAATCCCAACTGGTTAGGCTGGGGATTATCATACTCCGATTGGGAAAAATGACCCAATATAATGTCCGACAAGAACTACCTTTCTTCCCTCGATGGTGCGGACCCATGCAAGCAGCAATTTGGCATTCCCAACGGATGTCAGGACCTCAGTCACGACCTCAGTTTCGACCTCAGTTGAACTTGCAACAGTCGGGAGCCTATTTAATGAATCCATCGACAAGTCACAACTTACAACCTCCAACGGGTATCCAGCCCCATCCACGATTTCCACCAGCACCTCCAGCATCTCCTCCACCTACACTGCCATATCCAATTCCACCTCGCTTGGCTTCTCCACCTTGCTCACCGACGTTGCCTTGCCCACCGACTCACAAGCAGCTTCTCCGAGCACCCCATCCATCCCATCGTCCCAACCTCGCCATGCTGGCACTCCACACATGACCTCACCAGGAGGTCAAACCACCACTGACGAAGTCCGGACATATGGCTTTGATCTCAACCCTCATTGGCAAGAGGATCAAGATCACTTTGACAACCAGAAGATCAACGGCTTGACGTTTCCAAGGACCATCCGTCCATCTGCTTTCACACAAAAGTTGGACATTGAAGGGTGTGATCCTTTGAAACTTCCGGTGGCAGCCTTGTTGTACCAGCAGGCGAACAACTTTTGGCGCAAAGATGGTTGCCCTTCACCATGCCATTTACCAGGGTCTTTCCCTTGCGGTCGTACATGCCACAGAAGCCGTGCACAGCTGATTAAGGACATGTTTCTATTAGAAACAATTCCGGTCTAAACAGAGTTTTGCATCATTAAGACATATAACGACATCACAAAAACAACCCCGACACTGGCTTGATCTTCAAAAGTCTATTCGCAAAAGGTCCAAAAGGTCTGTGCATCACGTGCTTTTTTTGCTTTCGATCAGCCTAGCAATAAAAAACACGTATGTAAACTAACATAGCTATTGAAAATAACCATTTTTGATGGGTAAATCCACTATAAATGGCCATTTTCAATAGCTATGTTAGTTTACCGGAGGGTATAAACAAAAACAAACCCAACATTGGCTTCTATCAGGCTCCGGCAGAAGGTAGCGTCTGGTGTGGCGCATAGCTTGTCGCACTGGAGCTTACTTAAGAAGGATGGCGTTTGGCAGCCTGACCAACCCCTAGCATTTTACATGTCAACGATCGAATGTTGTTGTTTTAGGATGAACCCACTTACAACTATGGCAACTATGGATTCAAGACTGCATTCAACTGTTTTTCAGCTTTACCTAAGTCACAAAAAAATGATTAGAAACCCATGTTTCAGCCGATAGACAGAAACAAAACTGGGCCATGTAGAGGCAATGGCTTAAACATGGCCATGTTTCGGTGCCATGCTGGCGCTTCTGGCTGTGGGAATCCTGGCGCTGGAGTCTTGGCATGACTGGATGTACCCTCTGGTTATGACTAACAGGGCTAGCCATGGTATAGATGGCCCATAGAAATAGATGGTTTACCTATTAATAGCATGGTGATTTTCCATGGCAAACTGTTAAATAACCAGAGGGTATCTATTTAATATCTTTGTAGTGAGTAAGGCATGGTAAACGCAATGCCAAAAACCATCCCCAATGTTGATGAAATTGGCTATACCGATATACTCTTTTTGAACCCAAAGAATGAGGTCTGGAGGATGATTCTCCGCCCTTCAACATGGCAATTTTTTGGGGGTCCATGTGCAATTTAGGTGGTGTGAGGGTGATCTGCATCCTGGATGGATAGGTGCTTTTATATTTTGCACTTGAAATCTCGGAATATAGACATTGTTATGAACCATGTGCTAACTTGCATGCACGCGAACAATCATGGTCTTGCATGCAAGTCTTGTATCAAGGCCAAATTGACTTGCAAATTCAACCCCATACACCTTGACAACCGGGAAATGTGAGTGGCTGACCGAGCTGCAACTGTAAACTCACCGGCAGAACTGGGACGCCTCGTGGTGTTGGGAGACAGAACTTTCGTTTGTGAGTTTAGATTTTCATTGGCCAATGATCGGTTGGGTTCGGTTAGGATCCTCCATTTTTATGTTTTGCCATGTTGTCAGTGAAAACAATCGTGGAACCCTTTTTAGTGACTACGCCACCTTAATCCCATCCCCACTGTTGAAGACCAGAAAGCCTGATTTTCTTCGGCTTTTGTGGGTTTATAAGTCCAATGTCACGTGTTGGTTTTTGTCGGTGATTAATATCGAACTAGTTTTCATGGGATTTGTTTAGCCATTTATAACTTGGGGGGGCACCACCTTGTGGGACCCTGGGACCCTGGGTGTGATGACTGGGATGACCGGGCCACGAAGGATCTGGTGTTGGGTCGAAAGTTGCAGGGCGACGTGATACTTGGACCCGGGGCCTGCCCGGGGCCCGGGGGAGGCTAACGTAGCCTTTGCAAGTTATGTTTAGTAGTTTCATTCTTTCACAATCAGGGGTGATATTTATATATACTGTCTATATATACAGTATATATACATATTCACATATATATATATTATATTATATATCTATATCTATATATATATATATATGTCAAATAGCCTAACCATTTTTTTACAGATCCAAAGAGTAGCCAGTTTTTTTTTCCCGAAACACCGCATTCTTTTCAGCTCCCATCTCTCCAAGGCGGAGGTCATTCCCTGAGGCCCCGCAAGTCATTCTTCACCAAGCATGCCCATTTAGGTCACCTGCTCTTTTATGAAATCTGCCCAGTGTTTTTTTCTGGATTTGTCTGAAAAAGGTGTACCCCCCAAAAAATGATCATTGGATGAGCATCATGACTTTTCCCAGTTTTCCCCAACGATCTGCAAATTTTCCATATTCTTCCCATCATTTCAAGGCAACTGACTGGGGTCTTTCCTGCCTGCAGGATCTGGGCAAGCCACTGTGATCAGCAAGTTTTGCTTCGATCGGGCCTCATATGGGAACGATTTATGTAGCCAAAAATCCAGGGGTTAGGAGGGAGCGATGCGGAGCTATGGTTAGTCAGTCAGTCATGTTCCCAGCAAAAACTGGAGAGCCGTGGAACTCTGAATCTACTAGCAACTACCCAAAAAATGACCAAACAGGGTCGACATTTGCTGTGTTCCCAGGGGCTTAACAGTTGATAAAGTTCACTCACACAGCAAGACGTTGGGAATGTACGAGCCAACACAGTGATTTCAGCAACCAAGATGAAGGACTATCACCACGCAAAGCCGAGTTAGCCCGCAAAACTGAGGATACATGATATGTCTGACAATCACTTGGGCATGCAACAACTTAGGACTCCAGACTAAATTCGACTGTGTTGGCATGAGGGGTTGGATGTTTTTTTTTTCAGTTTTGGGAATGACGCGATTGCAACATCCACGAGATGTAGCCTAGTCGCCACGTGACATCTTGGGTCATTCAGATTCAAATGAAGGTTTCAAAAAAAAAATAGGGCTACCCCCAAATCACCCATCTCAGATTGGGATTTTCCATTCTAAACATCTCAATTGATTAGGATTTTCCATGAAATAAACCATCCATTTGATGGTGATTTCCATGGATTTCCCCATTTATGGTGGCACCTCACCAGGATTTCAACCCACAGTGCGTGGATCACCATGCGTGTGTCAATCCACCGGGAAGCATTGACCTCAAGGTGCCGCTGCTCGTGCCGGTGCTGGGGGAACCAGGATCTACAGGATGGGGCCCCCGTTCGATAGCGTTCAGTTGCCTAAAAAAAGTGGCTGAATTAACTCTGGTTTATGGTAGATATAACGAACTAGTTAATGGGGGTTATATTGGTTTATAAACCAACAAACATCGCTGGGGGGCCCCATCCTGTACCCTCTGGTAATTTGTTACAGTTTGCTATTGAAGCCATGGCCATAGAAATAGTTGATTTGTCCATTAAAAATTGTGATTTACCCATTAAACATGGTGATTTCCCCATTAGAAATATTAAAAATGGCCATTGAAATATGATTTTCCCATGAAAAAACATGTTGAGTTTCCAGTTCGCAAAGTGTCAACGTTTACCGCGAAGATTTTGAGGTTTTTGGCACCAGAGGTGCGAGGATATCTCTTACTGCTTGGTGGTGACTGGAACCATGGAATCTATGTTTGGGTTACTATACATATACAGTGCGTATATATAAATAAATAAATAAATATATATATATATACATGGTCAGCGGCCCCCCCTCGACCCGCACTTGATTATTGTCGTTGGGAGGGCTGACCAGGCGGATTTTATTTATTAAAAATATGGAAAATACAGTTAAAAAAACACTTTGTCTGAAATAATATTTATATATGAAACGCTACAAATGATATAAAGAATAATAACATCAAAGCCGAATTTCGGCCAAAAAAGGCACAACAATAAACGAAAGAAAAATACAACCTACTTGAACAAATCAAGAATGACATTTTGAGAATCTTTGGGGAGGGCCCCTTGGAAAAAGTACAAAAACCTCGAGAAAACCAAAAAAAAACAAAAAAAATAAAAAAAACACAATTTTCCAGAGGTCTTGGAAAGCAGAAAAGTGTCCTACCCCGATGGGAAGGTCGAGCTTGTCCTCGCTGTGCGCATGGAACTCTGAGCACCATGTACTACTGCAAGGTACGCAAGGCTTGGGTGCATAGATGCTCGGCCAGATCTTGCGATGTCAAAATACAACCTCACTCTTTCCATCCCATCTTCTTCCAGGGCAATGGTCAATCACTGACACCACTTGGACTACAAGCCGCCATTCTTCATTGTGCCTTGGTCAATGTACCTGTTACCTCTGTACCTGCTTTACTCAATGTCGAGCGGAAGACAGCAGAGCGCATCTACACCAATTTGGAAGTGGCGGCGCATGAAGAGCCTCGAAGCGAAGACGATTTTTGGGAAGGGCCACAAATGGGCAGACATCGAAGCAGACGAGGTTGACTTAGGCAAGGAAGGTGACCAGCCCAGCGGCAAAGCGAAATGGGAACAATGGGGCGGTATGGTAGAGCGAGGGCAACCTCAGACCTTGGTTCTGTATCGTCTTTCTCCAAAGCTCACTGCCAAGCGAGCTCCTGGGCCTGGCCCTATCCGCTTGAAGGATTGGAAGAAGGTGGCCGACAAATTCCTCCGCCGTCGCGAAGTCATTCTCCATACGGATGGTGCCCGTGCCTACAAGTTGAAGATTCCCGGCGTCATCCATGACCACGTGGTGCACAAGAAGAAGCGTGTCAAGATCAACGGCAAGTTCACTTGGGTGAAACCACATTGTACCAAGGTCTACACCCACAAACTTCCATGTGGGAAAACGGTGAAGGTAAAGAGTGGCACGCAAATCATCGATCGATTTTGGGGCATTCTGCGACAGGGTTTGAAATTTGTTAGTCGCAAGCCCGGCAGTTGTCTACTTGAGCGCAAAGTTCGCTCCATTCAATGGATTTATTGTCACAAGGGCGCCAACATATGGAAAGCAACTGGTGAAATGTTGCAATTTCTACAGAAATCGTGAATTTGCCAGCTTCAGTGCCATGGTCGAAAAATCGTAGCTTCCGCCTGCTTCTGCATGCTCATTGTCTTTGCATTTGACGGACTTCCAATCAATATGTTTTCACACATGCTCCACCTTCTTTTCTTCTTTCCTTCACCAAACAAATGTCAACGTAAAAAGCCACGTACACCTGCACATTACATCTGCTTTGTCTGTGCAAGATTTCAATCGTGTCTCCATAAATGAATCGCAAGACATCTGCTTCTGACCCATCACGCGTAGCCCGCCTTTGTTGCGGGTAGGAGGTGTTCTTTTCAATTTAGCATACTTTAAGTTTTTGGTTCAAACTGACGCTCTGTCCTGCCAGCCATAAATTTGTTGTTCTAAAACTTCATGGCGCCGCCGCAAATCCTACGACCCGTGCCGCTTGCCAAGCCAAAGCCCAGAAGGACGTCAGCAGAAAACCAGGGAACTACCAGGGACGTTGAGTGGTGGATATGCGAATCTGAAGAGTTTTGGAGGTGCTTTGTCCTAGCTGTCATCATTTTTGTTCTTAAAATCTTTCTAATTTCCAGGTTTTGACAAGACCATTGTGAAATGTTCATACTCCTGCACTTCGCTATCGTGCATTGTTGTGATACATGGGCATTACATGACAATGTTTCCTCACCGTAAATCCTCATCGGAACCCAGGTCTGCTTGGATCACAGCGGCCGAATCCATCCACTTAATGATCCCTTCCGAGTTCGATGGTGCCACTGAGCGGAGCAGATCACCACGTGAACGATCGGGCTTGAACACACCTACTTCCCAAATGTCAGAATGGTGGTTCGATGAGTATCCAGACCCGTGGGTAGAGTCACCAGCACACACTCCAGAAGAAGGCCGGAGCGAAATCATGGATATGGTGCCAAACACTCCTCGAGAAGATGCGGCCACACCAGTCCCGATGACACCTCCGGAGTTGTTGGCAGGGTTGGGCGGAACGCTCCCGGGCACTCCTCCGGATACACCACCGATGACACCTCCTCCACCATCGACGCCAGAAAGTCAGTGAGAGAACCGCAATGTATAGATTTTCCTGAAATTGGATTTCGAAGGATTGTGTTCTTCGTTAATTTGCACTTGGTTGCCTCTGGGCTCATCATGAACTGTTTGGTTCATTGTTGGAATCTCTCTGCTTTCCTTTTCAATGTCTGCATTACTATGCTTGGGAAATAACGAAATCAAACTTCATTCCACACTTAGAAGAAAATGTTCAAGTGACGTGCACCTATGCATTACATTAGCTTGGTCTGTGCAAAAACTGAACCATGTCTCCACCAATGAATAGCCAAACATCTGCTTTGAGCTAAAACGCGTAACTCGCCTTGCTTACGGGTAGGAGGTGTTTCTAGAAGTGCTCAATTTTCGTGTCTGCTGTCTTGTTCATGTATGATTATGACATGTTCAAACTGTAAATATAGAATTATGTAAGAAGATTGTTGCTGACAAATTCTGGCAGATGCATCAGTTGCACGATAAGACCAGGAAGTGCGATGGAAAACACATGGAAATTGCGGGTCGAGGGGGGGCCGCTGAGCATATATATATATATATATATCAATCAGGTTGGTATATTTTACTGGTTATGACTAACATAGCCATGGAAAATCCCTTATAAATGGAGATTTATAGCTGGGAAAATCTATAAATGGAATGGCCATTGATGGTTGGTTGCGATATAATCTGGTTGGTGGTGACTGGAACCATGGAATGGATTATGACTTTCCATGAAACAGTTGGGAATGAATTTCATCATCCCAACTGTTACACTCACTCCATGATTTTTCAGAGGGGTTGGTTGAAACCACCAACCAGTTTAAAAGTGGTGACACAATCCTAAGACTACCAAACTTTGCTGATGAAAACCATGCACTTTTGCAATCGCTACAATGGCTTCTGTGGATGGGATAATCCTGGCAGGATCAATGGTGTGGGTGAAAAACCCTACTGACAGGAAATACCACTGTCGATTGGGGGGCTTCTAATAACCCGGAGTAGAGATACCTGTTGACCAACCAGTATTATATATTACAAGGTGGTGGCCCATAGTTAGCTAAGTTGGTTTATAACTCCCATAACTATGGTTTATGGTAGATATAACTATAGTTAATGGGGTTTATAAACCAACTTATAACTGGGGGGCACCATCCTGTATGGAATCGGATAAATGTCATTTTCCAGGATCATCGCAGTTTTGAAAAACGCGAAATGAATGCAGCCAGTGAAGCACTTCGCAACCAAGAACTGCCCCAAAAAACGAAGTTCAAATACCCTCAACAAGAGACTCAGACATGCATAGATCCACGACAACAATCCTGGCTGGCTTTTTTGGGGCGTTGAAGATTAGGGGAATGATTCGCCAGTAAAACACATCTAAAAACTATTCTGGATTCACCCGTCCATGGTGGTTCTGGAACCACTTCGCAAGTGAACCTCAGTATGGACGGAATCGGAAAACCTTTCTGATCATTTCTATGAGAAAAAACATGGGAGGACCATTTTTCTCCGGCTCCATCAAAAAGCGAATCACGACGTCAATTTTTGAGCCCAAAAAACTCCTAATTGCGGCGGATAACAATAAGAATTAGCCGGATCATCCGTAGTATGTGAGAAAATGCATGGAGAATCAATAGGACATCCTGAACAATGATCCCCATAATACTTTTCAAGGTTGAAACCACCAGATAACTTACAAACAACCTGTAACTGCTTGTTGAATACCTCTTGACAATTATCGACAAAAAAAACACATGACTACACCCCACACCATACCAAAAGTATCCACAAATAGCATCAAATAGCACCTGAAACAAGATAGGTGCGTTCGTAAGATCCGAATGCTAGGTGCGTTCGGCTCATCTAAGCCAGACATCCTCCATGCGTGTGGCGGAGGTGGGGTTTCAATGGGTGGAGGGCTCTGGTAAAACTGGTGGAACCTCCTATTCTTGGGGGAAAAGACAAGGGTTTTTCAGTAACATGTACCTTAAATCAATCACTTGAGTCAAATGAAACCGGATAAACTACGAGGTGAATAGATGTGAATAGTGGAATTCTGAGTTCATCTTGAATGATATGAAGGTACTTGTCTGCTATAAGCAGTTTTATTTTTTCAGGAGATTACCACAGATGCCAGGAACCTCACTGGCAGTCCGAAAACTGGGGCTGGCAGGAGCCAAATGACGAGTGGTTTACATGTTGTGGTAAACAAAAAAAAGTCAGTGGAAAATCACCATCCGACGCTTTTATTTTTTTGGAGGTGTCCTATGTCATAGGGGTAGCTCCAGTTCTGCATTTTCTTGGGACTTTCCATGGGAGTTGCCATACTTGGAAGATCTTGGAAGTGCAGTTCCAGTGAACTACTCTAATTAAGTGGATATATACCATATATATATGTATATCATATATATATATCATATCTATATGCTATATATACTATATATGCTATATATCATCTGACCATACTACTGTAAGTGGATAGATGACCATAGTTCTGCCATGGCCCAATTGGTGAAGTCACCGCGGGCTAAAGACCGTCCTTGGGTGGCAAATTTCTAGACCAGTTCCCCCGAAAAAAATGCGAGTGGAATGTCTTGGATCATTTCATATACCCTCTGGTAATGACTAACATAGCTATTGAAAATGGCAATTTATAGTGAGTTTTCCCATTCAACATGGTGATTTTCCATAGTTATGTTAGTTTACCAGAGGGTATCCTGATTTTTTTTTAATTTAGCTGATATATTCTATAAATATGATGATATGATGCTTAAAAGATACGAGATATCTCATATATTCTCAGATATTTCAGATATTCGTTAATTAATATCAACTATCTTTGTCCACATATTCATGATATTGGCTATGATATTCTGGTTGGTGGTTTGGAACATTTTTTATTTTTCCGTATATTGGGAATTTTATCATCCCAACTGACGAACTCTTATTTTTTAGAAGGGTAGGTACCAGAATAGTTTCATACCCTGATCTATCAACATCCCCTTAGTTAATGACACATATACCATTATTAATATTATAGTAACCATTATAAACCATTATAACTTATAACTATGGATAACCAACCAGCTACATTGGCTACATGTCTTCATTTTTTCAAATGGTGCCATCACCAGCCATGGCAGGTGAGGGAGCCCAAAGTCATGGTTGCCCTGCTGGACGATGAGTGACGCTTCGGGAGCACCATACGGGGCGGATCTGGAACGGGAGAAACATGTTACCATAGGAAAACCATAGGAAAACCCATAGGAAAACCATAGGAAAATGGTGATATAAACAACACAAATGGGGTTTCGATGGGATGAAAATAGCTGATTTATGATAGTGGATTCGTTGGTACCCGGCCTGGTAAACGTACAACAAACTATGGAAAAGCAGCAGTTTTTATGAGTAAATCAACTATTTCTATGGCAATTCAATAGCTATGTTAGTTTACCAGAGGGTAACAGTGAATAATAGGGAAACATACATAGGGAACATGATGAGAGTAATGGTAAATATAAATGGGATAATGGGAATCTATTTTAATGGGAAATGACTGTTTCCATAAACAGGGCTACCCCAATAGCTGGTTGGTTTATAGTTGAAAATCCCATTAAAACTGATGATTGGGGGCACCCCCATTAGTTGCTTTTAATGGGAAATAAATAGTAACATCATGAGAATAATGGAGTAGCAATGAAATAATCAGGGGATTTAAACCTCCTAATGATTCACGATGGTGTTTCCATGGGACTTTCATCTATCATTACTGTAGGAGGTATTGAAAATGGATATTTCTCCTGCGATCGTGGGGAGATACCTACAACCAACAGTATGGTGTGATCAAATTTGATGGTATGCCCTCTGGAAATCAAACGTGGCTAGCTGGAACTTCGGCCATTTATTTCAGTGATTGTCCCTTTGCAAAAAGCTCCATCGAAAGTTCGAAGATTCCCCAGCCACCTTTGATTACCAGAGGGTGGGTGATTTTACAATTGGAACAAACACTAGCAGAAAGGGTCCATGTCAGATGTAGGGGGTGTTTATTGTTGGTTAATGCTTGTTGGATCATTGATATGGTCTTAGAATGTGAAGGGCATCCAGGTGTCAGACAGTTCCATGATGGTGCTGCATGTTTGATCTGATTTGAAGCCGGGATTTGTAACCCAGCTGGTGGATACTACCCAGAATCGTTTTCTTTCGAACGGAAGAGTGATCACTTGCAGCCAAAGATGGCACACCGCTAAAGATTCAACTGACCAAACAACCGTATAATAAACCAGAGTTTCTGCTTTTGCTTGGAACATCTGAACATCCCTATCTTTTTGTAGGTTTTCTTGTTTGTTTTTGGAGGTGTTTGTGAATCCTTGTTCCATTTGGATTGCTTTTTGTTTCATCAAATGTTTCATGGAGAGGTCGGCAGCAAAGAAACGGATCAAACGGCAAAATCTAGCCCCTAATTTTGTGGCTTAAAACCTCAAGCACGTCTTCTGTTTTTTCTGTTTCTTGGCTTGACTTTTTACACTACCCTTTTGCTGAAAACCACAAAAAGACGCTCGAATCGTTTGTTGGGGGATGAGTTTACATCTGTTGTCCAAGTTTTGCTGGATCATCCTGCGTTTGCTTCAGGTGATTTGTTACTTTCCCAATGGAGAAATCCACTTCTTGCGGAATCTATAGTTTTTTTTTTCAGGGGGGGTTCCTGAAGCAGATCCCAGCCATCTCAGCACGTCTTCCTTTAAAGGTACTTCAGCTTTCCAGAAGTCTCGCAAGTTTGGGGCGAGGCGAGGATTTTTTATGATTTTTCACGGGGATGTGACAGGGTAATCCATGGCACAATCAATGGGATTTTATAACCAATCAATGGGGTTTTATAACCAATTAATGGGATTTTATAACCAATCAATGGGATTTTATAACCAATCAATGGGATTTTATAACCAATCAATGGGATTTTATAACCAATCAATGGGATTTTATAACCAATCAATGGGATTTTATAACCAATCAATGGGATTTTATAACCAATCAATGGGATTTTATAACCAATCAATGGGATTTTATAACCAATCAATGGGATTTTATAACCAATCAATGGGATTTTATAACCAATCAATGGGATTTTATAACCAATCAATGGGATTTTATAGCCAATCAATGGGATTTTATAACCAATCAATGGGATTTTATAACCAATCAATGGGATTTTATAACCAATCAATGGGATTTTATAACCAATCAATGGGATTTTATAACCAACCAATGGGATTTTATGTTTTTTTGATGGGATTGATTGGGAAAAATGTAAATAATGAGTTTAAAACCAATCAAGATCTTAATACACAGAAGTAACATATATAGCACAGGGGTTGTGTCAATGGCTCATTAACCACAAACAAATACTAATATGGGCTTATGACCACCTGGGATTTTTTATGGGGGTATCCAAAAATGAGGGTTTTTTCCCCATGGAAAAAACCCAGAATGATAGGATTTTTCTGGGGAAATGATGCTATACCACGAATGTTTTTTTGGTACCATTCTGTTACAGAAAATCCCATTAGTTGCTTTCGATCAAGCCAGCGTTCCCAATAGTTGTGGTAAATACATACCATAAACCAAAGCCTTACGAGAAACGGGCTGGAATTCAAGTTTTCAACCATCCCCAATGAGATTTTTCTCAGCCTTTCCCCTGAACTTGCAAACGAAGGAAGCAGAATTTGAAGCTGGCATCAGAATACAGATTCCAGGTTTTGAACCTTAATCTTTTGCCATAAATGGGGGACTATGAAAGATAATTGCATGGTTTTTCTGGCGTTCTTCCCAACGCCAGGGAAGTTTCGGACTCAGTTTTTGCCGAGGCCAATTGCACCGATGTGGCCAAAGCTGCCAAGAGGGTCCCCGAGACTGGTATGGATGGGGTGGTTTTTCAAGGTGTCGAAAAGAGTCGGACTTGGAAACGATGAAAAACGATGAAGCTCTGGTAAACATAAAAAACTATTGAAAATGACCATAGAAATAGTGGATTTTCCCATTGAAAATGGTGATTTTCCATAGTTTTTTGTATGTTTACCAGAGGGGAACCATCCTGGGCAGCAAGAAGGACCCGTCATGACCCAATGATCCCGATTTTGCTCTGGTAAAATCGGTAAGTCCAGAGGTTTGTCATCAAATCTTCCCAAGCAAAAAATTGCTGTTTTGGAATGTATAGAGCCATATTGATCGGGAACAGCCAGGGGGAATTAACCATCTATGTTGGGGGAGGATCATTGGGATTATATAAGGGTTTGACCAACGAGAATACAACTTTTATCGATAATGGATTAACATTTACAATTCTAAGCTATTGTTTGATTAATGTCAACCCTGGATTAATAAACCCCTAGGCTGTTTAATTGTGGGGGATACCATTTATGTATCATCTTGTGACTATTTGGAGGGTACCCCCACAATTAATAAACAATGGTTTATTAATCCGGAGTTGACATTAGCAATATAAAATGTATCAAGATCATATCTCGGATGAGCCAGCATTGCTTCAAGCTGTGGCCTAGAGCTTCTGGTGGATAATCTGAGTCACTAGTTGCATAGTTGATTAGACGCATTTTTTTTTTCTTCCGCGATTCACTTGACAAGGGTGATCGTAACTTCCATCCTTGTCGACAGCGAAAACCCCATCATCTGTGGTTAAACTCGCGGTAAACCGAATTTTTATTGACCTCCCATTTATAATTTTTCATCAATTTTTCATCCAATCTCCCCTAGCGGTAAACCGAAGAATTAAGTATGATTTGTCATCCAATCCACTTCAGAATTTTGAGGATGCTTTGTGGCCTCGGGTTGACCACACTGATGTTTTTTTCAATCCATGCTGGGTTTCTCTTCAGTCGAAAATCACCATTGGATGCGTCAAGTTAGGATGGATAGATAGCATCTGGGTCATACTGTCATACTTTTGCAATATACCCTCTGGTAAACTAACAGTTTGCTATTGAAAATGGTCATTTATAGTGGATTTTCCCACTAAAAATGGTGATTTTCAACAGCTATGTTAGTTTACCAGAGGGTATCATAATAGATCCCTTTTATGAACGGTTGGACACCACCCAGCCATGGCTGAAGACTCTGATCATCCCAACTGCTTCTGAGTGGGAACTAAGAATGAGGAACTGAGAGCTGTTTCAACCGTGTGAAACTCAAGTGTTGCTGCAATCTTTGTTCAGCAGTATTAATCCGCGATATACGTCCCTATTCCAGGAATCTGAATAATCCACCATTTTGTACTATCAGAATCCATACAGGCGCAGAGGATTATGATAATTAAGCTGGTATCATTGCGGGCGATTCTGGATACACTACAGGTTCGATCAAGATGCCATTGTGCTTGATTTTTGACCATTAAGCATACCCTCTAGTAATTTAACATAGCTATTGAAAATGACCATTTATAGTGGATTTTCCCATTAAAAATGGTGATTTTCCATAGTTATGTTAGTTTACCATTAAGCATACCACTTGCCCCATCACACAAGCCTCCGGGTTTTCGCGCCCCCAGGCATTTGCGCTGGAGTGGAGGACCATCAGTTCCAGGGAGGGTCAACATTTCTACAGCATCGTGGTGGTGGCTCGTTGGCAGATGATGTTTGGGTTTTCAATGTTTTCAGAATGAATCCTGACTGCAGTCAGACTATATATGGGTAAAATGGGATGACATCGTGTTTTTTTCTTGTTACCCTCTGGTAAACTAACATAACTATGGAAAATCACCATTTTTCATGGGAAAATCCACTATAAATGGCCATTTTCAATAGCAAACTGTTAGTTTACCAGAGGGTAAATTGAAGACATGGTTTTGGTGTAAACGAAAATCTTGGATCAATCCGTTGATTGCTGAATGGTGGGGTAGCTTTTTTTTTGCTGGATTAGACGATTTATATTTCTACGAAAGGAATATGTCTATATAACTTATAGGTTCAAAGGAAGATCTAAGGTTCCGCATGGCTGGAAATCCATTGATGATGACTTATCTGCGGTCATTTTTCTGTGTTGACTCATTATGAGCTATTGCCGCTATGAGCTAAAGAAGGAGCCAGGCGAATGAGGGTGATCCATATTCTGCATCGATGATGCAGTGCAGAACATATACTCATCTACTGTAGATACAATGTATATATATATAAATATAATTATATATACATATATACATATGCAGTACATATTCTACACATATTTGTATGATATTTTTTGGCGGCCTTGACAGTGACTGGCCATGTGTGTTGGCCAAGGGGTTTTGCACCACATGTCGCAAAACTGTGAGGTTGGTGAATCGAATGATCCATCGATAGCCACATATTGGACAGCGGCTAAACATAGCCATGGTGAAAACATGCCATATCTGGTTGGTGGTTTCAAACATTTTTTATTTTCCATTTCATATATGGGATGTCATCCTTCCCATTGACGAACTCATATTTTTTAAGATGGTTAAAACCACCACCAACCAGAGATGTTTTCCCATATCACTTCAACCGATGGTTGGATTTTCCCATGACATCAATCCCATCTACCCTCTGGTTATGACTAACAGTTTGCCATGGTATATATAGATGGCCCATAGAAATAGATGGTTTACGTATTAAAATGGTGATTTTCCATGGCTATGTTAAATAACCAGATGGAGAAAGTGGCCAACTGTTCGCCAATGTTCACCCAGGAAAAGGTACGACCGCGCTGGTGGTACATCGCTTTGGCCTCGTGTTCAGATCATGCTTTGGCTATGAGCGCCTGGGCTGCCGGGCAGGATTGGGCCGGGTGTGTCACCATTTTGAAGCCATCTTGATCGGGGAAAATGGCCAGGATGGGCCAGTGGATGGAATGGGATTGAATTTCAGTGAAAAAGCTACAGGAAAAGATTTTTTGATGATAACACATGTAAAAGACCAGAAAAAGAACCAAAATCTATCCGGCAGATTTTGGCTCAGTTCATTCCATTGAAACTGGTTGGTGGTTTGGAACATTTTTTTTTCCATATATTGGGAACAATAATCCCAACTGACTAATATTTTTCAGAGGGGTAGGGCTCAACCACCAACCAGATTGAAACTAGGAGAACCCCTCGCCACGATGAAACGTCCGTGTCTCGCAAGCTGAGGCTACGAGCTGCTGGTGCAGAATCCTATGCAGGGGATCAATCTCCAGCTGTCCATGGATGAAATAGGCCGCAAGGGTCGCAGGTTTTTTTTTGAGGCAACACACCATCCCAACTTGGGCATTTTTTTTTGGTTGGGATATACCATCTGGTTATGACTAGCAGTTCGCCATGGAAAATCCCTGAACTAAATGGAGGTTTATAGCTGGGAAAATCATCTATAAATGGGCCATTTTCCATGGCTATGTTAAATAACAAGATGGTAATGGTAGAAATGGTTGGGATATAATCTGGTTGGTGGTTTGGAACATGATTTTTTTTATTTTCCACAATAGTTGGGATGATGATCCAATCTGACTTTCATATTTTTCAGAGGGGTTGAAACTGCGAATTGCATATTCCCTATTTAGCATTCATGTCATGACTTTGCAATTGTCATTTCAATCAATGGGCATTTCACCATAGCCCTTTTTCCAAGCTCAAAGATCGGTCGGAAGACCGGTCAATCCAACGTGAAGGACTTTGGAAAGAGAGTTAAAAGCGCAGGACCACTTGTCTGACCGTGGAGGACTTTGTGTGTCTAACGCAAGGAGTTTGAGGTGTGGACTAGTACCTGGCTTTTCTGGCCGCAGACGTGTCAGGACTGTCAGTGCTAGTACCCCCCGATAATATTACCCGGGTGAACCTGTCGCGAACAGGTTATGAGCCCAACGCATGGGGACTCTGCTGAAATGATGCTCAGAAGAAGAAGGTCTGAGCCTGATGATGAAGAGTCAAAGAAAGACCAAACAGCGTCAAGCACCCGGGCAAGCGCGAGGAACCAAGGGGCAGAGATGGCTCTAGTGGCAGTGGATAGGGAAAGGGTTGGAAAGCCTTCACCAAATGGTCCTGTTGGGGAAGATATGAAAACCCCCTTGCCAATAGAAGACTTTCCAGCAGAACCTGTAGGATCCCCTAAGGCCCTAGGACCTAGGAACCTCCAGCCACTGTTCAATGAAGCTCAGCTAAAGAAGGCTGAGGAGCTCAGGTTGAGTGCACCACTTTTGCAGGGCCCAAGCCCCACCGCAGTAAGCCAGTCCACCGGCGGATGGGATGGGGGTTTGGCGGCAGGGAAGGTGGGAATGGGGAAGGAAGCTGACATGTCAGAGGGACCATCAAGGAAGGGTCCGGAAGTCTTGATGATGTCACCAATGGGATATCCCTTAGCACCTCAACATGGTTATGGATACGTGCCACACCACACACAACAAGGAATGTTTGATGAGATGATGTGGCAGTTTCGACAAGAAATGGGACAAATGTCAAAGTCTCTCACCCAGCTTCAAGAAGAAAATTTGAGGTTGAGGATTCAGCTTATGGAAGAACGAGAGACTAGATATACAACACCTCCCGATGTCACTCCCGCTGAAGGTCTCCGTGACAGCACCCGCCGTCAGAAGGTTTCAGGAAAGAAGCCCAAGTCCAAAGGTGTAGAAGCCAAGCAGGAAGACTTTGAAGCTTCGAAGCCAAAGGAGGATGCAAGTCGAGGAGAACAGGAGGCTGAGACCCCCAAAGCAGAGGAGGAAGTGATTGGAAAGAAGCTTGAAGAAGTTTCTAAGGAGGATGGTCCAGCTGGACAGCAAGAGTCCAGTGAGGAGAGTCAATCGATTCAAGAAGAGGAGTCGGAAGATTCAGTGAATGTGAAAGATCACAAAGGAAGATCAAAAAAGGAGGACACCACAGTGGACGTGATGCTCAAGTTGATGCAAGGGATGCAATCGCTGCAACAACAGCTCTTGGATCGAGAGACGATCAGGGGCCGACGGCTAACAGAGGACGATGAAGAGGAGCATGTGAGGAGCAGTGTAGAGCTGCACAAACTGCCGGAGTGGACAGCTGAGAATGCTCCGGTGGACTTACAGGACTGGTTGCTTCTCATCCATGCACAGATGTCGGATCTCACTACCAGCAGTTCAGAATGGTGGGATCTAGTGGTTGAGACTGCGAAGGACTGGTACCACAAACACCAAGCCATGAAGCCCATCGACAAGCTGAAGCATGAAGTCAGGGCACCACCGCAACTACAGCAGAAAAAATGGAGAAGGTTGGAGAAGAGAGGAAGCAGTTTGCTTCTTCAGGCCTTGCCCAGTAGTCAGCGTGATGACATTGTGGCAGGGAAAGACCTTTCAGTGTTGGCGATTTTGGCAAAACTCCTCAACAACTACCAGCCTGGTGGTTCCCATGAAAAAGCAGCAGTGCTGGCCGCTTTGGAGCTGCCGGCAGAAGCGGTGGGGATCGGCGAGGGCATCCTGGGACTACGTCGTTGGTTGAGATGGAAGAAAAGGGCAGAAGACATGGGCCTTCAGTTGCCCGATCCATCGGTCCTTTTGAGGGGCCTGAACCGGCTGGTCTCCAAGATTTTGGCTGGCAATCCAACCTTGCAGTTTCGCATTAACCTGACGAGGACAACACTGATGGTGGATTCTGTGCCCACTATGTCTTCCATTGACCAGTTGGCCGAATGCTTACTGGCTGAGATGGACCAGGTCTCCTATGCCAAAAAGAAGGAAAAGGCAGCCATCGCAGGAGTTCCTAAAACTCGGAAGATGGAGGAGGCAGGAAAAAGAAGCGAAGTGCCTCAAGCCAAGAAGGGCGATGAGGGTAAGAAGGAGATGCCAAAGTGTAAGTACTTCCTGACGGACAATGGATGCCGTCGAGGAAAAGCTTGCAGATGGGATCACAACCAGAAGGATGACCAGCGTCGCTGCTGGAATTGCGGGTCCACAAAGCACTTCTCCAACAAATGTCCAGTGAGTGAGGGCCAAGGAGAAGTCAAAGTGGCCAAAGCCGAAAAAGACGGCGAAGCCAGAAAGAAGAAGAATGATGAGGAGGACAATCAGTCCGACCGAGCAGTTGCTGGAGCGGACGATATGAAGAGTCTACTGGAAGAAGCTGGAAAGATGCTAAAGGTGATTCCAGGAGCTTCGCAGGAAAGTTCATCGGTTGAGGAGACCGGTGATGCCAAAATCAGGAGACTTCAAAGACAGCTGGATGAGCTTCGAGCTTCTTCGGTGAGAGTGCTGCGATTGGCCAGGGTCCAAGCAGCTGTGGAAGATTTGGGACTCCTTGACAGCGGAGCTACCCATCCCCTTCGACCTCCAAAGAAAGATGAGGATCTGTCCAAATGTCAAAAGGTGAGGATCAATCTGGCCGGAGGAAAACAAACAATGATGATGCTTTCAGAAGGTGGTGCCATCATAGGCTCTGAGGATGTGGAGCCCATCGTGCCACTGGGAGCGTTGGTGGAGAACTTGGGTTGCTCTTTGCAATGGACCGAAGGCCATATGGTCCTGTATCACCCCTTCAAGGGGCAGATTAGCACCCAGCTCAAAGAAGGTTGCCCGATGATCAACAAGTCTGATGCTTTGGAGTTGATCGAGGAGTTGGAAAAGAAGGCGCCCGAGCTGAGGAGTGTAGAAGGATCCGCAGCTGAAGCCTACATGCACTGGATGAAGCGCTTGGTAGAAGAACACCCAGCACTTCAAGGAGTTCCAAAAAGAATCACAGAAAGGTTGGTGATCAGCCCTAAGGAAGGACATATCACCGGAAACCGAAGCCGAAGAAAGCTATGGAAGAAAGAAGGAGGTGTGACGTTGTACCTCTACTCAGGACCCAATGAAGGGTATACTATGGCCAAGGCCATTCAGCTCCTCGGAGGAGAGAAAAGAAAGGTCATAGCGGTGGACATCAAGAACGGAGCCAAATGGGATATGATGGAGGATGACCTCTATGCTGAGCTCATGGACATGGTCATCAAGGGCCAAGTGGAGTCCTTGGTGATGTCTCCAAATTGTCGCACTCGCTCAAAGCTCCGACATTATGAAGTTGAAGGAGTTGATCTTCCTGGACCGGTCCGAGAGTGGAACGGTGGAGAATGGGGAAAGAAGGGCATCGGAGAAAGAGAGGAGAAGAAGTGCCATGAGGATGATGTGATGCTCTTCAGAGGACTCATGCTCTACATGGTTGCCCAGGAGATCAGGAAAGCATCCCGCCACACCAAAGACATCGACCTTGTCTTTGAGCACCCCAGCACCCCGGCAAACATGCCACAGGTGGTATCGTTCTGGTCCACCCCCCAATGGCAAGCACTCAAGCAAGCATACGGCCTGTGGGAGATCCACTTAGACCAAGGGAAGCTTGGAGGAGGAGGGGTCAAACCCACAACGTTGGGCGGCAACTTGCGCATGCAAGTACCCAGCGTGGTCGTACCAGCACCACAACCTCGATGCACACATGGCAAAACAAAAGAGCAGATAGTGCAGGAATCCCAAAGCCTTTCCAGATGGGTCCCTCTGCTTACCGACATGGTAGCATGCGCCCTGCTGGAGTCCCAAGGGATCACCCCAAAGTTGAGATCCTGGAGGACACATGTCCAACGATGCCACCAGCCTTTCAGAAAAGACTGCAAGGTATGTCAAGAGGCTGCAGCAAGAGCGAGACCTCACCGGCGTCAAAAACTTCCCCCAAGAGCTGGCGTTCTTTCGGTCGACATCGCCGGACCACTCACCAGAGCTCCAGACCTGGGCAAAGACCATGCTCGTTTTGTCCTGGTCGCGGCGTTCACCTGGCCTACAGGCCTGAAGTGTGACGACTTAGAAGAGTTGCCCGAGGAGGATGATGAGGATGATTTCCCAGGCTGGGAAGAAAATGAGGAGAAACCAAAAGAAGAGATAGGGTCCCAAAAGCCAGGAGCCAAGAAGCGAGGCAGGCCAAGGAAGAAAGACCCTGAGGAGGAGTTTGAGGAGCTGCTGAGGAGAGAGCAGGAAGAACAGAAGCAGAAACGGCAGAAGGAAAAGGAGGCTGCAGAACCCCCAGGAACTGAGGAGCCCTTAAAGGAGGCCGCAGAACCCCCAGGAGTTGAGGAGCCCTTGAAGGAGGCTGCAGACCCCCAGAAGAAAGATGATGATGAAAAGGAAGGGGACTATATGACCCGGGTGGCGCCCGATGTTGAATATGAGCCCACTGAACCGGGCGAAGACCCTTTCCCACAGGTGGCAGTACCAGATGTCCCTGAAGAGCAACAGGCACAA